AAATTCAAAGTCAATAATGCAAAGTAATATACCTGAAGAGGAAACAAGAATAACTATGCATATATTTCAGGAGGACGTAGAGTAGATACCAATTTTCAGAAAGGACTTTCAATTTGGTCAGACAGTATTGTGAGAGAGTTATCTCTACGCTCAGCAATGCTGAACAAGACAACAGAAAATACGAACAGGAAAGGACTACAGAACAGAACAGAAAACTTAACTAAGTCACCATATTGATGCATAATTTGTCCACATGCAGAATATTGTATCCAGTTCTGTCCTCCTCATATCTTGAAACACCATACCACTCAGCAGAGTATAGAGAACAACAACAACAACAACAAAAGATAATGGAAGCTAAGGAGTATTTTTTGTTGAAGGAGATAGTTAATAGATTAGGATTTTGCAAAGATGGAACACAAGATTACAAATGTAATGGAGTATATGATAGAAATCTATAAAGATGTGGTGAGAGCAAACAGGGAATGACTTTTCACCACTTATAAGAACCAGAGGAAATTTAAAGAAATTATCAAGCAATGTGTTTAAAACAAAGTATTTCCCCCCTACATACTGCATTATGACAATGTCAAAACTGGCAAAATAAATTCTTGAGACTAAAATGCATGGTCTGATAAATCTCCCCTCTTTTTATTAAGCACCTCATCATTTCAGATCTCAACTCTTTTATACCCAATTGCCTAACAGCCTGAGATTGGGGTTTAAATTACAAAGTATATTTAAAACATGCATGTATTTCTATAGAGAAATATTTTACTACCTCCTATTACAGGCAGGAAGTGCAAGTCATTGCATTGTAGCCATAGCCTCAGTCATGTACCCAATATACACATCACTGAACTGTCAATGACCCCTTAAGTTTTGCTCAGCCTGCAGGAAGAAGTTAAGGTCATCTCACGTACCTGCACCCACCCTGATGTGTCCACCTGGTGATTAAAATACTGGATTTTGGAAAAGGCCACTGCAAATTTTCTACTATGACATATTTTGGCCTGTGAAATTGGAACACACAGGGTGTATCTCACACAGCATGACTGCAATCTGGCTCAAAGGCTTCACGGAAAGCAGTTCTGATATGAAAGGTGGTGCTGCTGCAGGGGAACTGGTGTTCCTTAGCTATGCTAATTGAATGGAGATCATAGATAAACTCTTTATGAAAGTGAAGTTTATCTTTCAAATGTGATAGATGACACAAGAAGCTCAAGAAAAGAAAATCAATAATGATGAATCTTTAAACACAGTACACATAGGCCTGCGAACAGCATGGATTTGTCTGTGTCGCTGTTCCGCTCGAGTGGGCAGCCGAGCTCCACCACAGCTGCTCTCTCACTCCCCCTCCTCAAAGAGGAATGGGGAGAAAATATGTGAAAAGTGCTCAAAGGTTGAGATAAGGATGAGAAAATCACGCAGTAATTATTGTAACGGGCAAAACAGACTCAGCATAAGGAGATAGTAAGATTTATTGCTCATTACTAACAAGCTAGAGAAGTGAGAAACAAAGGAAAGAAACCAAAAGCACCTTCCCCCCCCATCCACCCTCTTCTACCTCCTCCCCCCGAGCGGCGCAGGGGAACGGGGGAATGGGGGTTATGGTCAGTCTACAGCACTTCTTCTCTGCCGCTCCTTCTCGGTCACTCTCGTCCCCTGTGCTGTGGGGTCCCACCTACGGGATGCAGTCCTTGATGAACTGATCCGGCGTGGGCTTCCCACAGGCAGCAGCTCTTCCAGAACTGCTCCAGATATGGGTCCGTACCACGGGCTCCATCCCTCAGGAGAAAACTGCTCCAACCTGGCTCCCCCACAGGCAGCAGCTCCTGCCAGGTCACCTGCTCCTGCGTGGGCTCCTCTCCACGGGCTACAGGTCCGGCCCGGAATCTGCTCCGGCAGGGGTCTTCTACAGGCGGCAGCCTCCATCGGTGCAGGGCCACCTGCTCCACCGTGGTCTCCTCCACGGGCTGCAGCGTGGAACCCTGCTCCACCGTGGTACTCCATGGGCTGCAGGGGGACATCCTGCTTCACCATGGGCCTCACCACAGGCCGCAGGGGACTTCTGCTCCGGCGCCTGGAGCACCTCTCCCTCTCCTTGGCGCCTGCAAGGCCGTTCCTCACTCCTCTCACTCTCCCAGCTGCTGTGTGGCGCAGCGTTTTTTTCCCCTGTCTTAAATATGCTCTCACAGAGGCACAAAACAACATCGCTTATTGGCTCGGCTCTGGTCAGCAGTGGGGCCCTTACCAAACATGGGGCAGCTTCTAGATCCTTCTCACAGAAACCACCCCTATGGCTCCCTGCTACCAAAACCTTGCCATGTAAACCCACTACAGTCTGGTACCTGGCAAAAGAGACCCTCAAAAAGTGAGACTGCTGGAAGAAATGTACAAGTGAGTATTTCAAGACGGTACCATATACACAAATCATTAATAGATTTTTAAAACCTTGCCCAGTCATACCTACATGTTTGCTGCATTGACAGATTCCCACAATGTGTTAGCAAGTAACATCATAACATCAGAAAATCAAATTAGTGTCACTTCTCCATGAACATCAACAGGACCTGCAAGCTGTTATATAAAAACCCTTTCAAAATGGAAATTAAAAGTTTAAAGCAAAAGCTCTTAGCTGCGCTAAATGCTGGAAGTACCTAGGAAATACTATTGTTAGTATGCTAATTCATGTCTTATTTTAATTGTCTGATTCAAAAATCCTATAAAGTTCTTTTTGTAAAGTGTGTTCTTCTCTGTCATGAACAGAACCATCAGACAAGCTCCCAGAATCATTATCAAAATCGTGATTTCAGAGAACTTTAGAAAGATGTGTTTTATCTGTAGCACAAAGCCCTTACTTGATCTCTTGCTTCCTAGGTACTATTACTTACAGCAATTGTGAGCAGTAGGGCCCCATTTGCTCAAATGGAAACAGGTGGTGCCAAATACCTGTGAAAAGCAACCAATCTGACAGGCATTACGAAAGATCAGTATCACCTTTTGACCCTACCTCAATCAAAGTCATTTAATGAGTTCTCTTAATTTCTCAGGATAGTCTGACCAGCTTGTAGCGATGCTGTGAGCAATGTCGATGCAGGAGCCTTGAGAAGTGTCATGAAAGTAACAATTGGCTCCGCAGCTGTCTGCAGCCGGAACGTAAGTATGCTGTTCACCCAATACCGACTGACATTTCTAACATTTAGAAATGTCATTTTTAAAACAAAAATACCTTTCTTCATCTTAATAATCCTATCAGTTCGTGTTCTGTGTGGTTTTCTGTTCTCCACAGAGACCTCTGGAAGCAGAGACCGTTTCTGATACAACTTTCCTAATGCCACGTGGCCAGGCATGTCCTTTTTATCGCAGTCAGATGTTGCAGAGTATGCTGTGCTGTGGAAACAACAGTTACTTCCCTATTGTATCTCATAGTTCAAGCAAGTTGCAGCAAAATGCTCAGTCCTTGCACCAAATCAGCAGTAGTAAATCTCAGTATAACAAATTCAGTCTGGAATAGTTCTTTTGTATAAACAAATTATTTTTTTAATATAAAATTAACGAAGTCATTTACTCCTCTATGCAATTGATTTAACATTTTTAACGTTGTGTTACAGAAAACCTGGGCCAAAGGAGCAAGGTGAAAAAGCTGAGAAGGCAGGCACATATTTCCATTTTGAATCGGTCACTGTTTTCGTTTGCTACGAGGACACCACTAGCATCCCGGTGACATACAGGATGGGTGCACACAGCTCATCCCATGCTAACCAGGAACCTCACCTACTCAAAGTTCTCCACAGCCTCCTGGGCACAGCCAAGGTTTCCACCAATTGCTGTGTGACCATTGTTTTGTGACCTGGCTCACAAGACACGAGCCTGCCCAGCATTCAAACTGCTGAAAACATTGGCAAGCACCAGTTCTGCACAGCACTGCTCTTTAGGACATGGAAAGTCCCAGGATAACACCTTGGCTTTCCCTGCATTGGCTCACCACAGCCTGCTAGATGGAAAGGTAGCAAACACACACGGCAAGAGCAACATGCTTCTTCTTGTAAAGCAAACCCTTGGGTTTATGGTCTGTTGCTTGTTGTCTGTGGGTAAATAACCTGTCATCTTGTCTTTTTTGTTGATGGTGGTTTTGTTCTTTTTTTTTTAAAAGCATCTTTATCCTGCATTGTATACCTCTACACAGCAGCTGAACACACAAGAAGTGCTTCACTGAACCTCTGGACCTGTTATACTGAGACAAACTCTCCTCAGAATTGTCTGCCTTAATTCTTTGTTTCCCTCTTGCTTACCTCTTTAACGTCTTTCACTCAACATCAAACATTGCTTGAAAAGCAAGAGCCAAACTTCTTTGCCTATATGCCTTAGAACTGAATATTCACCATTCTGGCTCAATTCTAATGATTGACATGATTATAGCTCCCAGCAATGAGTTCCCTACACAGCTTAATAGTCTGAAAAGAGCAGCAGCAAAATTGATGGAAGCCAGGAATGGAATAATGGAAGCTTGTTAGCTACTTAGACCCCCAGAGACCTTGAATTCCACAGTTCCTGGTTGGCATCGTGCATTGAATCACAGAAACATCCAGAGAGCACAAAACTGATGAAGTACACTGACTGCATCGCACTTGACTTGCTCTGACTACTAAGCAGTTAAAACAGGGCAGAGTTTTGAGGATGTAGCAGATAAGCAAAGTATCTAAGGCCAAAATAATAAACTGTGAGATATAATAAGGCAGACAATTCAGTGATAGTGCTAAATCATTGTACTTGGAGCAAGTAAACTCTGTTACTATACCACTCAGAGATGGCAGGAGAAAGGCTGTCTTATATCATAGTTTTTAACCACAGACTGAAGGTTAAATAGCCAAAGCCATGGTACATTTTCTTCTCAGTGCCCTGAAGGATAAATGCTGAAAACAATGATTTAAGCAAACAGGTACAAACCTAATAGAGGCAAACAGAGAGTCCTGTAATTTACTAATGGAGCGACTCACGTGTGGGTGGCTGCTGCTGGAGAAGATGTGGCTGCACATTTGTATTGCTTTTTCAGGGGCTATACATACATGCTTTTCTTGAGACCAGTTGCATGCTGATCCAGACTCTGGCATGCAGCTTGGAAAAAGAAAAAAGAAAGCTCATTTTGGCAACAGGAGGCCTTCCTGAAAGCACAGTAACTGAACTCTGACACTGCTCAGCTTCTCTGAATCAACAGAGGCCATTCAACTCAGCATCTGCACAGCAAAGCTAATTACATTCAGTGTTTAAACTTTGGGGTAAAGGGTGAGATGAATTAGAAATCTGAGTTCTTAGCAAGCAGAATAGGAAAGCATTGGTAAGTTTCGAAAAACAAAACCAAAAACTTTCCAAGGATTTAGGTAAGAAAATATTCAGACATTACTTGGGACTTTTAAATCTCCACCCAGCACACATGCATTCTTTCATGAGATTTTGAGACAAACACACTGCCGTCCTAACACCTCCAATATTTAAAGTTTACTTTGCTTTATGAATCAATTATTAAAACTTCTCTCTCAGTGAAGACACTTCCTTTTAACATTTCTAGCAGTATAAGTGAACTATTTTATAAAACAAGCAATATTTCCAATACAGCAGATTAGCAGAGATAGGTAAATCACCAAACCTCTGTGACAAGCAGGCTTATGAATAATGAAGTAGCTGATACACAGCCGCCTTACCACGAGCCTCTTAGTCAGATTGCCGGATTTCTCAGCACGACACAGGCAGGACTTTGTTTCTGTAGTATAAAAAGACTCTTAATTAAATCTTCATTCTTCAGTGTGACAAGATTTATCCTTCTCTATATGAGCTCAGATTATTACATTTAATGCTGAAAAAATATATTTTTTTTTCCCTGTTTAAGTTCAGCATATTGCTGATGTTTCCTTACAATTCTTTGTTGCTTCCAACTTCTTGAAAATAAAACACTAACCATTATTTAGGTAGAAATGAATTGCACTACACCAGCTTTCAGAGTAGTTACATGAATACGAACAGTCTTAAAAGATTTCCATTTTAACATATTTTTAGTATGCTGGAGCAATCTTCAACCAGAGTTATAACATTCCACGTAATTGCCCATGTCTTAATGACCTCAGGCTTTGAATACAATTGTTGGTCTTTGCACGCTGTCTGTCACTTTCAGTGCTTGGGTATTGACACTGCATCTCTTTTAGGTTCTTTGCAGCCCTTTAATGACTATGCCAATTAATAATGCATCATTCTCTCTCCTCTAGCTAATTTTAATTGCTGTAATTTATGTCCCTAGACAATTCTTGCGCTACAGATGTAATCTATAGCACTGTGACTGGGTTCGAAGATCACACTCTCAAGGTCCCTCACAGATAAACAACACAATTCCAAGTTCATAGACATCATCTACAAGTGACATCAATTACTGTTCAAGGAAACAAGTCATGACATTACAGGTAACAAACAGCTCCTTTTTATGTTCTGGAGCAGAGTGGACTTCACCGTCAGGTCTCTGGCAATTAATTACAGCTTAACAGACAGAGCATTACTGAGATACTCAGACACTTGACAGGGGAAAAATCAACCTGAAATTAGCAGAGGCAGAGGTTTTGCAGTTCTTCAAGAGATAGAAGTCTATACAGCTACAGAGATATTCTCAGAAATCTAAGAATAATTTAATTTACCCTTTAAGTGGTATTCGGTTGTGGCATAAGCGCTCATAATTCCTTGCCTACAGCCTGAGACAATGCATGCCGAACTTCAGTTTGTATTAAAACCTATTTGCAACATGCATTGGTACAAATTAAATCATGAAGAAAAAAATATGTATAACTAATTTCTAATCAACTATACCAACAGACCATAACTGAGGGTACGACTGTGAAGTGTTTGCCTGCACTAGATCACTTAGTTCATCCCCTTGCCTATATTATAGTTACTTCAAAAATCATATTCCAGTGTTTGTTTCACTTCCTACAGCTTACTGTGATCCCTCACTGTACTAGAATATTTTCTTAGTGAATCAAAACCTATTAAAAATATAATACAAATGTCAGTTTTGGCCATAATCACATTTACCCTTTTCTCAGCATCAAAGATTCAAAACCAACAAAGTTAAAAATCCATGCAAAGAATGCCAAATGGCTAACTTGCTTGCTATCTCAATAGAAAGCTGTTTGCATTGGGTATAATTTATTTGGAGTTCAACAAAACATAATGCTACTGCAGATTACATGAAGACTGCTCAATCCCCCCTGGGTTCAGTGCTGTAACTGCATGGAACTAAGAACCAGGACCAAGTTTGGAATTTGCATTATTGATATGACTATACCTTGTAATGATTGCTCTCAAACACAGCAATAATCACAACTATTATCTAACAAATATACACCCTACTGAACAATTAAATTGTACACTACAGTTGCTGATGTGGTTTCACTTGTAAAAGTGTCACAGAATGTAATTTGCCAGTCATCTTCATTAACTGATCCTTTTCCTTTAATCACAGTATTGTTTGGTAATATATGGGACTGCTAAACTGACAAAAAGAGAATGAAAAGCAACACTTACAGAGGCTTGCACAGCATCTATCATCATTCAACTTCCAAGTGCCTCCTAATGAATCTTTGAAATAGTACACATCTTTAACTAGTCTCCAGTGAATGATATCCTTATATGCTATCCCCAGAACTCATCTAAAATGCTCCATAAATTTATCGGCATGGAGCCAAAGTCATATTTCTTTAACCTGCTTCCTCTCTCTCTGATCAGAACAGAGGCTCTGATTTGCTGTTAATTGTTTCTAAAAGCCACAAAGGTGAAAGGGTGAGAGAAACAGGGGGTGGTGGAAAAGAACTTGGGGTCCTTTAACTACACCTACATACCTCCCTCTGGAACTTGGAAGTAAACTTTAAAGGCCCCGGTTGCTGATGCGTCCTTTCTGTAAGCAAAAAGCCAGTGAGGCTGCTGTCAAGACATGCCTCTGTGCTTCCAGACAGCTGTCACATGTAGAGGACAACAAGTTGCTCGTGCAGCACTACACTCAAACCATATGCTACTGTAGGAACCTCAGGTCCCCATCACTCTTCTCACAGCCTGGCCTGCAGTAGTCTTCAAAAGCAAACAAAACAAAACAAACAAACCCCCTAAACCCCAAGCAGTAACAGAACAGCCCTCCACCACAAAAAGCGTATTTAACTGTAAATGATTACATCAGCGTTTAATTATTAATGGCTCCTGTTGAATGTCTGAGAAATTGCTGAAAGGAAGCTACTGCACTGTTGGTAGCTTGGATGAAATTGCAACAGCCACTGTTTGCTGAATGTTTAACTGAGCATCCCCAAAGCACTGCACATTGTAAAATGCAAACGGAGCAAGAGATATGCTTATGAAAAATATCTTGTAAAATGCTATAACTATGCAAAGTCACCAAGATAAATCAATCCCACAAATTCATAAGCTACTCAGAAAAGGTCTATCTTAATTGTGTTGTGCCTACATTCCCCTTCTTTGAAATGGTCGTCATACTGATACTGATACCCAGTCTGAAGTTACTCTAATAGTAACAAAGTATTTAGATAGTACATTGATAGTCACCATAAAAGAACCAAAGCAGTTAATAATTCTTCATTCAGGTTCACTATTGTATAGCTCCTGATAAGCCAGACATCAGGGCAGTTAAAAAAAAAAAAAAAAAAAAAAAGGTACTGCAGCTACCTGCTGCAGTAAGCTCCATCTGTCCCACATGTTGAATGAGGGAAAACAAAGTAAACCTTTATGACTTGGTCACATACTGTGATAATAGACCTGCACAAGCGACCAAGGTAGACCACTTGCATGTTCAACTTTAGAAGCATAAAATTAACGACAAAAGGTGTGTCTAAGGACTTACATACAGCAGAACCTCAGCTGTTAGAACAGTTCATTAACAGTCAGTCCAAATTCAAAATTGCAACTTAAAGACATTTGTATCTCTTCACTATCAATCAGCTTTCACTCCCCATGCTTTTCAGCTTATTTTCCAAGGACACAGATCTTTCCAGTGAATGCAGACCACATTGTGGCCTTTGAGGACCATATGCTCTGCTGTAACAGAGTCAAAGAGCATACCTGAGTATAATGAAATTGAATCTGAGCATGCATAAGCAGCATATTTCTCAATGAGTAACTCCTCCCAGCAAGATCATTGGCTGTAGAGAAGTCAAGGATCGAAGCCAAATATACTACACTGCTTCCCATTAAAACTCCCTGTAAAAAGGGAGATGAAGCCAGACTCCTACGGCAGTGGAGGAAGTAAACACTATAAAGATATAGTTCCTCTGAAAGCTACACACAATAGCAAGGTCAGCAAAGTGGTGTCTCTGTGATTTAGAATTAAGCTTATAATAGCTTTCTCTCCAGTAGCTCACACGTGAGCAGCTAAGCAATTTTTTCTTCCTTTCTTGCTGCATCATACTAGGAGTAGTATGTACATAAACCAAAGAAAATGCTTAACAACATTTCATATAAGCAAAAAGCAAAAACAAACTAAAAAGCCGCCTAAGTCTTTGTTGCATTTCTTTAACTTCCAGAAGATTGAGCAGAGCTTCTATGTTACTGCCAAAAGCATGAGTTGTAGCAAAGCGAAATCCTATGTGCTCCAAATTCCTCAGACTGGAGCAGCTATAAAGGAATTTGCAGTCTCTACGACTAGCAGCTGCTGGTGTTGTAAATAATTTTATTTTAATTAGAGAACTTCTGCAGTGTTTCTCATTATCCATATTCTTAAGTACAAGCAGGCTCAGAGGCTGTGCATTTACTTCCTTGGCCTACAAGATAACAATTCAAGCTACCTAAAATATTCACAGTAAAACATACAAGTTTTGAGACAAAGTTAACTCATCTTTATTCAACTTCTTGCAGTGGAATATTTTTATTATTATTATTAAATAGAAGAGCAAGAGAGTTGCTCAATTTTTATGACAATATGACAGGGCTTGTTAGAAAATGAAAATGTACAAAAAACATAGACCCAAATCCGATCACCAAAACACCCTGCAACTGTTTACACTGACTACTAGATAAGAGATTGCATTTTGTACTGAAGCACCAGAACATGAGAATATGTATATGTTTTTTTTTTTTTTTTTTTTTGTCAGAGCAATGATTTTCAAAACTACTTCATTAGGCATTCCAGAAATTCTCAGTGTCACTCAAAACATTGAAGCTATCACACTCTCATGACAGGTAATCTTATTAACCGCATCTTTACATTTCCAAGGATTAAACTGTCAATGACAGTTGACGATGCAATGAGTCTATACGGTACCAAGATGTATTCAGGTTCATACACAAACATACAAAGTTTGATAATGGTCCATCACAGAACTGCCTGCAAGGTGAATCCTAAGTGAGGAAAGGGCAATGATTTAAAGCTGAAGAAACAAGCGAACATTAAGCTGGAATGAACCACTCCTACAAAGTGACTCCTACAGTACCCTCAAGGGCCAACCTTTAAAAAAAATCTGTACCTTGTGCCACTTGAGCTGCAGTATGTGACAATACCCATGCCAAGCATCCTGAAAACAATTAGCTGTCTGCACCACATCCTTCTGCAGGCACTTGAGTTATTCCCAGCAGTGCCCCAAATTTCGTGTCTTTGAAAGAACTGCTGTGCTCCCCGGAGGTCACCTGGTCCAAGCCCTTGCTCAATGTTCTGTCAGCTTCTAAGTCACACTGGGCTGCTCAGGACTTTGAAACTCCTCAAAGATGGAATTTCCACAACCAGTCTGGGCAACCTGTTTTAATGTTTGATCAATTTGTCAAATGTGAGCGTTTTGTTGTTTGAGCAATTTGTTCTGAATCATCCATATCACTTCCAGAATTTGGGAAAGCAGGCAGAGGCCAAAGCCCCACAAAAGACAGTGAGGACTAGTGTTCAGAATTGATTTCATGGGATTGAGGGATGTTCTCAGGCTACAAAAGGAGATTAAAGGAAGGCTACAAAGGAAGGAGAAAGAACATTGGAAGACATCTCTATCCTCATTTACATATTCATGTTTTCACCTCATACCAAGTTAAGTGGTTTGCTCTGAACTCAGGATGACATTAAGGAAAAGTCAAATCAATTTTTTAACATAAATAAATGCTCCCAAGTAATACTCAGGCACTCCCATAAATGCAAAACAAATTTATCCTGAATAACTGAAGTCAGAATCTAGCAAATAGTTCATTACATTAACAGTCAGTGGCTTAAAGAAGAAAGTCTGTGTCATTGTCATTCCCAGACTCTTACCCCTGCATACAAATAAACTCCAATTTGAAACAGATTTTTCAGATGTTCATATAGAACATTTATCAAATGTTCATTTTTCCTTGCTGTTGACTTTCAGGGAAAGAGCATCATATTTGTCAACCCATTAATATATCACACATTTTGTAATATTTGAAAATATTTAAATATTGCATGCATATGTCTGTTATTTAAGAATAAAACACAGAATACGTACTCTAATTTCAATGGGTATTTTTAATTCTTTTTGGAACACCTTGACCATCCTGGCCAAGCACGTATCTTTTGAGTTACTTTTGTAACATGAATTCATAAGAGTAACATACAAAGAAGTGTGGTTAGTATCTTGTCAAATATTTTTAGTGTCATTCTATTGCAAATTAAATGTATGAATATGAATATATGTTCTTTTTATTCTATAGATGTGGCACATAGCCATTTTTGCTAAATAAATTTTGCTATGTCATAAGAAATTGTTTCTGAATCAAATTCTTTATAAACTGACAGAGAAGACACTTGGCAATAGTATAATGAGGATGCATTGTTAGCACCCCCCCATTCAGTTGAGATAAAGCTGTAGAATTCTGAAACTGACACCGAACACAAGTAAACCATTACCTTTTAAATTAAGTCACTTCTCAGTTACGCCCTGAACTGAACACTGTAAGAAACTTACTGTGCAAAAACTTCTCTGTACAAGGGATAAAGCCACATATAATGGCAACAATGGAAGAATACACTCTTACATTCCCCAAAGCACAAATTCCCTGATATTAGTAAGTGGCTACATTTCAATCTGAGTGTATTTTGTCATTTATTGACACACGCTAAGATGAAAGGAAACAACAAAATATAATCACTGGAATAATGTTGTGAGTACAGACAAAACTCTGGGTTCATTGGAAAGAAGGGAGGAAAAAAAAAAACACAATATACCGATTAGTTCATTTAGTTGTTTCTTAATAAGAAAGCTACCTTTCCCCCTTCTACAACAGCTTCCAATCCCTGCACACTTCCAGAAAGGAAAAAATGGCTGGTCCTATCTTCAGGCTAGCAGTGGTACAACTGCCAAGAGAGTTAATTCCACCCACTGCTGGGCATTCATTTCCACCTCCTTATGTGCATGTACCCTGTACCGTATTTTTTAATATTGCTTTACATTGGAAAGTAGCAGACTCCTGTTAGACCTGTCATTACAACGTATCAGGCTGGTAGAAAGAGAGGGCAAAGGCAGAAACAGAAAACACGCCAAACACTTTTAGGGTATTGAGAAAGAACCGGGAAGGGAAAATGCAAGACAGAATTTGAGCAGTACAGAATAGGGGGGTTATGAACAGTTTGTCTAAACAAAAATTTCAGAGGTAATTAGCAAAAAGAGCAGCACAGATGTTTGCTTCCCTGCTCCAATAAAAGGTAAATGAACTGATCATTAAATAGGGCATGCTTTAAAGATACCAATCCAGCCAAGAGCTCAGCTATAGTATAAATTACACCAATCTATCCTCTGTTTTTATTGGGAAGAACAGCATTTAGGGCCATTATACTGAAAAAAATGTTACTCACAATAGTCACTCGTGCAACATCTTTCTATGAGTCAGACATCTTACAGCAAGGCTAACTTTCAGAATGAGGTACACAGGAGTAAAAGCATCACTCCAGCACAAAGAGTGAAAATTAGGGAAGGAAAGCTGGACTATATTTCAGTTCCACTGCACTGGTTGTAGGTACTGCCAGACCCTCAGGGCCCTGGTTTCAGATTTGGTCCACAAGTCTTGAAAGAACATGTAAAACATTCAGTATGCCACATACATAGGACAGATTTTCTTCAATGTAAGGGAAATATGACATGGTTAGGAGGTTGTAGCAGATTTTAAGATCTTAGAATGCTGGAACTACAAACCTGAGGGTTTCATACAGTTCAGGGAGTGTATTTTAGTACTACCTGCTTGAGAAGCCACAGTATCAATGAACTATATTCAGAATTTTAAACCCCTCCTGCCTGTACCCTATCATCCATTGACAGAAACCAACACATCTTAAGTTTCATGAAACCACACCAATTTACAACAATGCTTTTTTTTTTTTTTTTTGAGTCCTTTACAGAAAGTGCTGCTTTTCCAAAAGACCAACTGTCAAAATAAACAAACAACAAAGCAACAAATAAAAATACCTTGACATTTTTTCAAGTATCAGGAAATTACTTGCTTTCCATTACTTTACAAAAGAAACAGGAAAAAAAAATTGCATACCAAAAGGAAACTTTGAGCTCTATTCCTCAGGCAAAACTTGTCATCAGTAAATAAACTTTGAACATATTTACAAATCTCTTCACAGAATAAATGAATTGAGTGAATTAAGTGCTACAGAGACTAGGGAATTAATGTAGTAAAAGAGGGTTATATACTCACCAGGTCAGCGACTGGTCTTCGATAGGGGAATAGGGAGGTGAGTAATCAGGCTCTCCAGTATCAGCAGCTGTAAAATATTACCATGAACTAATTGGTAACTGATTCAGTAGGGTGCACAATTTTGCTTGTATTTACACATATAACTAGGAGTATCCACTCATTAAAACAAACAAACAAACAAAAAAAACAACAACAAAAAAAACACAAAACAAGATTACAAAAATCAGACTTATCAGACTTCAACAACAAAAGGCGACTACCTTAATTTGAGGTTTCCTCCAAAGAGGCAGCACAACAGTATTGGTATATCCCCCCTTCTATGGTACTGATTTATTCAGGCCATGAAAAATTGTAGCCATTAAGCCACTAAGAGCACTTTGTACACCTGCAGGAAGGGTTTCCATGCAACCATTAACTAGCTATGGTTAAATCCTGATGTGACAGACATGTTTGGACAAAGCATCAGGCAAAGATCAGAGCACTATTGCTAAAGAAACCACACCATTTTTCAAAATAATACAAAATGCAACCTATTTCCCTGTTAAGGAATAGTTTTTAGGAAAGGCTATTTTCCTAAAACTTTCCTAAAACAACTCAGGAATTCTTTACTGCTTGAAAGCACCAATTTCCGTTTCCCCCAAGCATACAGTACAAGCTAGTCCTGACACACTTTCTGCATCAAATCACCCCACTACTATTAAACCAGCACTGTTTGGCCACTGCTCACTTTCAAGGTCTTCTACCACAGATGTCAGGAATTCCAGAGAGAATCCAAATCTTGCTGGATTTGTTTTCACTAGTACAAGCTGAGCGACAAATGGCCATCACCAGGACAGTCTGCAATCTCTCTTTTGGGCACTCCCAGGTTTGCAGGCCGTGACTCAGGCACATGCTAACAGCACACGTCTTTAAATCAAGAAATCTGTTCCCAGCACATTGTTTATTCCCAATGACTCTTGTATTAGAATCACCTGCAGACCTGGTATTGAGGTAGAGTTTTCAGTATCTACAGAAACAGACAAAACCACAGAGTTTCTGCTGATACCAGTTGAACTGCTGCAGGGGGAATGGGCTAAAGTTGCACCAGGGGAGTTTTAGGTTAGATGTTAGGAAGAGCTTCTTTACTGAAATGGTTGTGAGGCATTGGAACAGGCTGCCTAGGGAGGTGGTGGAGTCACCATCCCTGGAAGTCTTCAAAAGATGTTTAGATGTAGAGCTTAGGGATATGGTTTAGTGGGGACTGTTAGTGTTAAGTTAGAGGTTGGACTCAATGATCTTGAGGTCTCTCCCAACCTAGAAATTCTGTGATTCTGTGATGCATAAACCTGAGGAAGGCAGAGCTAAATCCCACCAGGGCACTGCAGCATCAACACTGGCAGTGCAGCAAACAGATCTGCAAGCACACACACTGCAGTTGTAGAAAAATTAGGCTGAGAATTTGCTAAGTGCTGAAGACTCAAATCTGCAGACACGAAAGCACAGCTATAAGCTGTCAGCACAAAAGAAAAACCCTGGATCATTAAAAAACTGTTCAGAGAAGCAACTGTGATACCTTCTGTGCATCTGTTTGGGTTTAGCTTTTCAGTCTAAATCAAGTCACAATAAGAACAGATTACTCATTTTAAGAGGAAGATTTAAACATTTCGAACGAGTGTTAAGAAAAATTATAAATTTTACTATTCTGCTAGTATTATTAGATTGCATGCTAGAAGCAACAGCTTAATGTCTGACAAAATATATACTGCCTGAAGGGACAGAAGGCTTAAAAATTGCCATTGTGTTAAGAAACCAAGTGTAATACAAAATTAGTTTACCATGATACAAATCCTGGCTATTCACTTACCTTAAAGGTTGCATCAAACTTAGAATTCTTTTGGTTAAAGTCCTAAAGTAGAACTTTTTTGTTTAATTTGAGCATTTTTCATTTCATATGAGCATTCTTTCAAAAAAAAAAAAAACAAACATGAATCACATTTTCACTCTGGTGTCTATTACAGCAGACATGAAATTCAAGCAGATTTTTCTTCCTGAAGAATAGGTGTGACTCCAGACAGTCAACAGAATTATTTAACTACTTTCTCATAGGAAGCAATACCTTGTAGTCGAATACATTATGCATTTAGTAGGGAGCATCGAGATGACTCCCTACTGAAAAGCACTGAAAGCTTTTACCATGAACAATGGACATATTTCTGGACTTGATGGTCTTAAGGGTCTTTTCCAACCTAAATAATTATCTGATTTTCAGATACATATTGCATTACTTTATGGAAGATTACAGAAGTTCCCTTTTAAACTCCTGGCTACTGCAGATCTGTTAATATCTTATAAAAATATATTGGAAACAAGCCACAGTAACCTCTTCACACTTCAGGCAGTTCACGGATCCTATTTCACGGCTCATTCAAAAGGAAGATTAGAGGGACTTTTTCAATTTCATATATTAAATGGTTTAATTCACAAGGGATTTGTGTCAACATAAGGATCCAAAAATAGCATGCTTCCTGTATAAATTGTATTTTGTCATCCTAATTAAGCCACACTGCACCTGCACAGTCACCCACTGACATTGCTCCTCTGTGTTTCAGAGCATAAACCCTACAAGCAGGGAACTACTCAGCCTAGCTCTTTAAGCTCAAGTCCTGTTTTCCAATAAAATAATAAATACACAACTAATTCACTGTCATCTATGATAATACGTCCACTGAGAACAAACAATCAAGCAAAACACTAACTTTCAGAGAAACTGAATCTTAACCCAAAGAATTTACAGTTGTTTTCTTTCAGTAAGGACAGAAACTAATGTCTGGCATGAATCCTGAAGGAAAGCAACACCTAGGATTCTAGTACATAGTAACAAAAGCTTCAGGGGGGAAAAAAATCATATTTATATTGAATTTTGTTGAGCTTTGCTGCAATTCGTATTATCTTAATGACAAATACCTGCAGACCCTAAATAAGTGAGACCTCTGACACCCATTTCACCTCCCAAACGCAGTACTTTCTAGAGCTTATGACCTTAGCATTATACAGACCCATCTGTTAGTTCATTGTCAAAACAAGATCACAAACTGAACCAGCATAACTGAGAGCCACCATTATTAAATAACATCACAGGTAACTTTCCTCAACAATCAGAGGAAGATGAAACAGTTTACAGGGAAATTCCAGATTTCACTTCACTCTCGGTTTTATTATGTGTACTTCCAGCTTTTTCTAAGTAATACAGCAAACTTGACCTAGCTGTATTCCTTGCAGTAATAGAAAAATACGTAATACGTTCATTAGCCAATAAATTCTATTTACAATTTCTGACCAATAATGTTTTCCACTGTCCAGCTGTAGTAAATCATTGCAGGGGGCAAACCCAAGTCATTACATTACTTCAACTTTTACCCTCTGATCTGAATAAGGAAGCAATAGGCTGCCCCTGAATTGTCCCAAGAAAAAAAGCAAAGAGCAAAGCTGTGCATGCTGTAACTCACCAATCCATGGTCAGCAAACGTGTGACAGACTTTGTAGCACCATGTGCACTTCAGAACAGCAAAAATGGCTTAGGAAGAGACAAGTGACATGCCTACTTCATTGGCACAACATGCTACATCTGATTCCGTTGGTAGGTTTAGATGGCAGTGCAATGACACACTAGCTCCAGAAACAAGCACACTAACATTTTGCAAGACACAATTAACAAGCCCTCAATCTGAGCAGGGCTAATTAATCCAGCAAGCAAACTTCTCACAGCTGATGACTGCTCCCAATTTTCTTGTCAGAGGTAGTGGTATTGGGGGCAGGACTGAGCTGGGATTTCTGAAGAGTTGCTGAGAGCTGTGGCTGAAGCCAGTGTCTTTACAACACTGACCTACAGAACACCCAACAGTCAGTTGTTCTGTTGTACTGAAAGCACTGTAGGAGAGCAAACTACCTCCAGCTGAGCAGCCTTTGACCTGCTAAACCAGCAGCAACAAAAATGCACAAAGGGTAATCTTGACTTATATCTTTGTTTCAAATCACCACCTGTACAATGCAACCTTAACCTTTTCAGTTCTAAGCATACACCAGGAAAACCAGGACTTCTTGTGAAGTAATACAGTGCTATTCAACAGGAACGGTGGACAGCATGCCGTACCGTCAACTCTGGTACTTTTCAACTGCACAGGGTTGTATTCAGAACAATCCCCTTGTAGTGTAGCAAGCGTTAATGGCAAAGCTCTCTAAAACAAAGCTTTAAGCACTTCAGGGTAGAGCGTACTGAAAGTCCTAAGAGAATGTTTCATTTTTAGCAGCGATTCTGGCAAACAGTACTCCTTGAAAACATATTCTGCATTGACATGCATATCATGATTGCTTTTTGAAACACTGAAAAATGACCAGTTTTAGAAATGTATTAAAAACACAAAACAAAAACACACACAATGTAGGTAACAGTATTTTTAAGCATAAACAGTAGGATAAACTGCATTTCCATTGTCTTGTGCCTTATGCTGCCCAAACGTTTAAATTTCTCAGAGCAGGAAGCAGCTCACAATCAGCATTTGTTTCCATGGAGGAAAATGGTGCCCAAGAAAAAGGGGCAGGGGGGAGGCAGGGAGTTCCCACTGCTAACATGACTTGGTGTTTCCTCAACCAAGGAAGCTCACTTTGCATTCACCTGCACCTTCTAGCATCACACATTGCTGTTGAGAGCTACCTTCCAGCTGCCTAAATAGCAGAGCCTGACTATAGGTCCAAGTTTCTATCCACAGATGAGAAAAAATTTACACGCATAAAGTGATCAACTCACTTCCATGCAATTAAACAACTTACCTAAAAGAAAAAAAAAAAAAGGAACAACAGTGACAAAAAACAGAGCACTTGTCACATAGATAAACTGAGTGACAGTGAAAATCTGTTGATAAGACTGTTGTGTTCGGGCCCAAAGAGTTGTGGTAAATGGAGTCAAATCCAGTTGGAGGCCAGTCACTAGTGGTAGTTGGAGGCCAGTCACTAGTGGTGTTCCCCAGGGCTCGGTGCTGGGGCCGGTCCTCTTTAATAGCTTCATTAATGATCTGGATGAGGACATCGAGTGCACCCTCAGTAAGTTTGCAGATGACACCAAGTTAGGTGCGTGTGTCGATCTGCTCGAGGGTAGGAAGGCTCTGCAGGAGGATCTGGATAGGCTGCACCGATGGGCTGAGGTCAACTGCATGAAGTTCAACAAGGCCAAGTGCCGGGTCCTGCACCTGGGGCGCAATAACCCCAAGCAGAGCTACAGGCTGGGAGATGAGTGGTTGGAGAGCTGCCAGGCAGAGAAGGACCTGGGAGTGATGGTGGACAGTCGGCTGAATATGAGCCAGCAGTGTGCTCAGGTGGCCAAGAAGGCCAACGGCATCCTGGCTTGTATCAGAAACACTGTGACCAGCAGGGCTAGGGAGGTGATTGTCCCCCTGTACTCGGCTCTGGTGAGGCCGCACCTCGAGTACTGTGTTCAGTTTTGGGCCCCTCGCTACAAGAAGGACATCGAGGTGCTCGAGTGAGTCCAGAGAAGGGCGACGAAGCTGGTGAGGGGCCTGGAGAACAAGTCCTGCGAAGAGCGGCTGAGGGAGCTGGGCTTGTTCAGCCTGGAGAAGAGGAGGCTCAGGGGCGACCTTATTGCTCTCTACAGATACCTTAAAGGAGGCTGTAGCAAGGTGGCGGTTGGTCTGTTCTCCCACGTGCCTGGTGACAGGACAAGGGGGAATGGGCTAAAGTTGTGCCAGGGGACTTTTAGGTTGGATCTTAGGAAGAACTTCTTTACCGAAAGGGTTGTTAGACATTGGAACAGGCTGCCCAGGGAGGTGGTGGAGTCACCATCCCTGGAAGTCTTCAAAAGACGTTTAGATGTAGAGCTTAGGGATATGGTTTAGTAGGGACTGCTAGTGTTAGGTCAGAGGTTGGACTCAATGATCTTGAGGTCTCTTCCAACCTAGAAATTCTGTGATTCTGTGTTTTTAAACATTAACTTACAATAGTCTGCCTACATCTTAAAACAAGCAAGATTTACTTTTGCAGTAGGTAACATTGTTAATTGTGAAATGGAAGTGAACTGTTTTCTGTGCATTATTTCAGGATTATTAACTCAGGAAAAGTAAATAAACTGCAGTAAAGTGGAATTTTTACACCTTGACAGTGAAAATAGTGAAAACCAGTTCAGTAATTTGCTAAAAGCACACTTGCATTGAAATCATATTATAATAATTGTAGTAAGTTATAATTGAAGTTCAAATGTAAACACCTAATGGGTGATGATGGGGTAACACCTGAAGTGAATTACCACCTCTCCCACACCTTAAGATAGAACTAACTATGCTTGTTACACAAAGTAATCTCTTTTCTAGTCATAAGCAAGGAAGCCCTGGCTATCACTTACTGATTTTAAAGTTTACTGTGCTTCAGAAAGCCTAATAATTTCTGCATAGATCCAGGTAGCATTCCAAGTTACTGTATACTTTGCAAATAGGGTCAAGCACATAGTAAATCATACTGCTATAACTCTGGATTCCAAATTTAATATCCCTAAATTTCAGATCCAAAAGGTAAATGCAAAACTGTCCAGCAGAAAATCATCAAGTAGCAAAGGTCAGCCTTCATCCCTTACAAGATGACATTTTGGAAATAGAGAATGGAAGATGGTAAGGAAAAAACCCTTTCAAAAATATGATAAAACCAGGAACATTTATTTACAGTTTCTCGTAGATTCTCACAAACTTGTTGTGCTGTATTTTCAAGGGGCACCTTTCATCTGCCTTTTCCCCAGGACATTCTCAAGGCTATATCATTAGCTTTTCTTCTGATGCTGAAGGACTAAAATACTTCAGAGAATCAAGAATCTCACTCAGAATGATGCTGTTTGTGGTTTTCTCAGCACACAGCTGTGGTATTGTTTCAGAATTGAAAGCATGGGTGTGAGCAGATGGATGTTGTTGTGAACTGGCAGGGTTAAACTAAGGTCCTACTTCTTGAAGATCTGATGGCACTAATTGCAAAGTCCGATAATCCCTGAAAATTTTCCTTGAATTACTTCTAAAATGGAACACAAAATAGCTTATCTGGGTGCTATATTATATTCACAAAGAGAGTATGTGAGCTTTGCCACTGTTTTCACAGGTTTTATTACACATGGATCATTCAACTGAGAGGTCAAAAGCTTATTGTTTTTACTGTGGAGATGTCCTGGTTTCAGGACAGGAGATCTGGAGCAGGACAACCATCACAGAATCATCGTGAAATGTCTGAAAGGGTAATGGTACACCAGACCACCTGGCTATGAGTTTTTTCTCTCTTTTCCCATCATGTCTATTCTTAAATTATGTATATAATTGTTATCCTGAATGAAGGATAAGCATGCCTTGCAAAGTTCTTCCTAGATCCAAGGATCTTCCCCTATAATAGATATTATTTCCAAACTTTTCAGTATAGAAACCTAAAGATATGGACATATGTGAATTACAGTATTTAGAACTCCTCACAAGAAGTATATTAAGCCCTAAGGCTTGAAAGTCTAGATTTACTTAACTGTAGGCCTAATGAGAGGTATTAACAAAAATGAAGAGGTATACAGACTCCACACCAGGAGAAATATTCACCTAAGGGATGAAGAACAAAGTATTTTATGTGGAATTTCAAAATTAATACGAATTATCAAATCCATGGCCAAACACTATGAGGAATAAAATGCACAACATGTATGTATCCTTCAATTCTGCCACATATATTGAAGAAAAGATTTCAGAAATGACAAAACATAAAAGTGGCTGCTCTTCTTCTTTCTGATGTTTTATTTCCAAGTAAGATCGTCTGGTCATTCCTGCATCTGAGACATCTTTGATGAAAGGAAATATTGTATATGATACACGGAGGCTAAGGTTGTTTGTATCACACATCACTGGTCTTACCTACAGAAGCTGCAGTTAGTCTGGAACACAGTGGAAAAAGACAGTCTTCTCAGATTAACAGCTGTTCCAAAAAAAGGAAAAAAAATGTAGCTACAAAAGTTGTACAAAATCTGTTTTATAGAAGCCAAGGAGACTAAATCATTCCAGCAGCAAACAAGAACATTTTGCAATGGTAATACAGAATTCAATAGAAAAAAGTTTTATCAAGTGCCTTTTCTTAACTACATTTCAGTTTGTATTTAAAATCCAGAAGTTAAACAGTTAACATCTTATTACAAACTGTTTAATTTTTTAAAACTGAGGCTTCCTGTGATCTTATTCTTCAACAATGTTCTTTTTTTCCCACATATCAGGTATGTTCTGAAGACTGTAACTATTAACAGTCAAAGAGCATTAATGTAATTAAGTTCAGTTCTAAACCTTCTCTTGCTTCATGAGTCTTCAGAGAGATACTTTCTTCTGCATCTTTGAATACATAAAAAGGTGCTTTTGTATTAAAGTGAAATTCTCCAGCTAAGCTTTTAGGCTGTGCTTCCAAAAGTTATAGAAGACATCACAGACCATGATCAGAGCTCATGTCTGTCATCCTTTAAAGTCATCATAGCTAATATCAATTCGTCCACTGAAAAAAGAATTCTGATAAGAAAGCTGAATAACAACACATTTAATAATGGAGACTAAGGACACTGCTGCACATAACTTCTATTATTCAAAATACTTGATTGCAAGAGGTCAATAAATGTGTGTAAAGCGTTCTGAGTAGCTACTCCACCACTTTGCATGCCAAAACACAGACTATTTTTTGCCATTTCTATCCTACCACTCTAAGTAGCTATCTTCAAGCACATGGTAGGGGAGAACCTTCTACCATTATCTTCTTTTTAAGACATCACAGCTAGACTTGTAATAGGAGACTTTAAATACTAAGCCTTCAAAAAGTCATTGCAAGAAAAAACTATTTATGTGGTTAACTGAAATTAAGCAGAGTTCCCTGTTTTAACCTATTGTGCACCTCTCCCAATGGTCACCCGTAACCAGAAAAAGATGCTCTCCCATACATCTGTCTTTCTTAACCTTGAGACAAAGCTTTGAACATTTTACTTTTAATCCCTCCTCTGAGGAAAAGCTAGGCAGTGTAGAACAAGCATCCACTTTTTCCCAACTTCAAGGACAATCACCATAGGATTTCCAAATATATTTCACTAAAACATCTTTCGTTATTAGTTTAAACATTCTCTCATGAGTACTCATCTGTGAAGTTTTTTCCATCACAGATAAAATTTGTACTTATAAATAGCCTTTAAGAACATCACACCATTAAAAGCAGAAGGTCTACTTTCATTAAACTTTTGTCATGAGAATAGCTATCATCTCTTTTTTTTCCTCCAGTGCCACAGTTACCATTCATGTTTACATAAATGATGCAAAGACATCTTAAATAATCAATTTTAAATGCACTCTATTGTTGAACTGTCATTAAGATACCTAATTTACCTCTGCTGCAACTACCTACCTACCTCTACTGTAACTCTCCTATCAAGGCGCCCATCTACAGTGTGACTGGAAAAGCAGTTATGAAGAAAACTTTATAAAGTCATCCCATTAAAAACATGGATCCCAATATACACTAGCAGGTAAGTATTTAGCAGAACAGCTTTACAGAACAGGAGCACATTTCTATGATATTCAAGAATACAGTCTCCAAGAAATCTTCTCAGGCACTTTTTATGTTTGGTGTTTTTCTGGCTAATTTTTACTTACTGTTCAGTTCTTCATGATTTCATTCTAAATGTTATTCCCAGTTCCACTTAATGAGGCAAAGACATAAAGTGATGGCAAAATTGAAAATGTAAATTAGAATGTTAAGATTGTTTACTATGCTTCATGAATATTTTGTCTACAAGCAGACAAAATCACAAGTTTTGTTTCTTCTTCTCTAGATAATAAGTCTCAGTCCCAGAGTGCAGCATCAATAACATCCAAAATATTTAAGTGTTCTGCAAACTGTAATAAAACCAACTATAGATTGATACTGATATTTAGTCCAAAATCTAATTGGAACTAAATAACATTAGGAATCCAATATTAAGAAGTGTGAAGAAGTACTTATTATTAGCTCTTTTCTTTAGGTGTCTAAGCTAAGGTACTGAATTCTGTGTAAAGGAAATGGAATAAAAGTGAGTTTCTGCAGAAGGTGATTCAGGACATCTAATTTAGGAGCCAAATTTAAATAGAGGAAAAACTATCATTACAGTCTAGATACCTAATTTAGCTGATGCAACTTCTATTAAAAGAACATTCTTTGTAGCTTCGTGCGGTCTGTTTTCAATACCTAATAAATTGCAAAGACTGTTGTTAACTCTTATTGTTTCCCTTCTTTCACCTCAATGTTAGACTGTTTGAATCCCTCATCCTTATATTTTACTGTAATTATTTATCCCCATAGTCATTGTTAGAGCATAAAGTTACTGAGCAGTGCAGGTTGTTGTCACATTTAAAAGCACACCTTCTTTGATGGTGCGAGCATCTGGATATTTGCAGTTGTTTATTTCTGACAGCTTGTTAAAATGCCGAAGCAGAATATTGCTTGAAAATTCTCCCTCACCAGTTCCTGTCAGCTACTGACAGATCTACATTTTATTGACTTTGCAGCACTTGCAGGAGCAGCAGAGCGTCTAATGTCCTTTTGGAAAGAACGTGGAAGCCTTTTGCTAAGGTTTAAGTCTATCATATGCTTTATTCTCCTGGTTATGTCTCATGGGCAGCAAGCATGTACCATTTGTGCAGAAATGATTAAAGCAGGAAAGAAGTTACCTGAAACATTTACTAGTGAGCAAAGCCATGAACCTTTCACGTACACTGCTAAGCAGTTTAGACACATGGATGGTTTCATCAAGTATAAACCGCAACAAGTCTCTTGCCTATGGTGATCATAACTCCTTATATAATTCAGCTGGGCTTTGTGTTATTTAAAAAGAGGAAGCTGCCTTGCAGTGCAGTTCCAGACACCCTATTAACCAACATGGCTAAACGAACCTGTAAGGGTGCCTTAAAGGGTACAAAACATTGTCAGCCTCTCTAGGACAATGTTTTCCTGATCAAGGGCCAGCGACTGCTCTGTTTTCCTGTACTCCGTGCTCCCCAAGTGCCACATACATATATTCTTATCAGCAATGAAGTGCAAAGCCACAGATCATTTTCAGGAGAGGCAGATCCAGCCTTGACCTCAGGTCTGTGACAAGCACACCAAGAAACAGGAAGAGCAGATTAACAGAACAGTTTGGAAAACAGCCTGATTTGTCAGCACTCTGAACACACGCAAGAAACATCACAAAGCAAATTTCCTGAAGTTGGAGCCTGACTGGCCAACAATGCCCCGCAGCAGTTCTAGGGTAATGTAATTGTTCAGCTAAGGCTTATACAGCCAGTTTGGTCAAGAAGCAATACTGCAACTGAGCATACTGGCAAGCTTTATATCACCAAGCGCAAAGAGTTAGGAATGTAACTTCTCAGACAGACTGCAAGTTTTTGGATTCTTATTGTCTATTTTGCATTGGCAGTTGAGAGCAAACAAATAAATCTAAATAATTAATTAAAAAAAAAAAGGCTAAGAGAACTCACAGTTCTTACCCTCTGGCTATCCAGCTATTAGAAGAGGAACATTTTACTCAGTGGTCCTCAGACACCCAGGACATGTGGTACGGGAAGGCAGGACAAGGAGTACCCTTCATTTAAAAGGCTTCTTCCCATCGACTAGTGTTAAGTCCTCTTGTGCTACTTCAGAAATATTGAGGAGCATAGTGCCGATTCATCTCCCAGGAAGGAAGTACACCAACATGGCTGAACAGACGTGTCAGCAAGCAGCGAATGGATCTGAACCTCTATTTCCAGATGGACAAAGGAGTGTACAGCAGTCCTGAAAAATGGTAATAAGCGAAACTTCTGCTAAACATGGGAAGAAAGTGGGAAGGAGATTATTTTTTTTTTAGTATGTATTTAAATATATGCAAGTGTAAGTGTATATATATGCATACCCCCCCAGAAGTTATCTTTGCTTACAGACACACACGTACACATACACACATATGCACACACCATACCAGGACTGGCTGGGTCAGAGCTGACTGTCCCCATGCTGTGCTCTGCACTGGAGCACACCAGTGTTTGGTCTATGGCTGAGCAGCACTGGCATTGTATCAAGGCTCTCTCCAGCCCCACAGAGCCAACAGGCTGCAGTGGGCAAGAGCTGGGGAGTCGACACCCCCAGGACAGCCAACCTAAACTGTGCACAGGGCCAGCCCACACCATACAGTGTCACCCAGCAATAAAAGCTGGGAAAAGGGGAAGGAGAAAGGAGGCTCCTGTTATGAAAGCCTCTGACCTCCTGCAGAACTGCTATGCCTGTTGAGGTACACAGTCAAACATTGCTCATTGATGAGAAATAGAAAATAAACATTTTCTCTTTTTGCTTCCTCATGGCCCTTCCTTGTTTTTCCTTCTTTTCATTTTAATTAAATTATCCTTATCTCAACCCGGGAGCCTTTTTCTTTCCCAGCATACTTTCCCCACACTCCCTTTGGGAAGGGGGAGTGATAACAGGGTTGGGGAGGAGTTCAGCTATCCATCAGGGTTAAACCACCACATACACACATGCTAAAAATAAAGCCAGGCATTTGTTCTTTGCATCCTTTCTCTTTTCCTGAAGTTCAGAAAAATGGTTGCTATTGTAGACTAAGATTCTTGTATATTTTACTGACCACAGATCATTGTAATCTTTGTGAAAGAGATTTACCTTGCCCCTGAGTAATCACAGGAAATTGAAATTCAAGCACGCTGCTAGAATTCTCTATTTGCTCAGCAATATTTTTTGTTTCTCCATTTTGACAGCCCACTCTAACGTGAACCTCAAGAAATGTTGCTTTGAATTATAAATGCCATTTCTGTAGCTCTAACAGCACCAAATGGCTGTCCTTCCAATCAACCCGCAGATTAGTCTGAGATCAGACAAAGTTAATTAGAATGTATGAATTTTGCTCGCTCCAACTTTCACCTTCAGTCATGTTAAATATACCAAAATATTTTGTTAAATAAAAACACACAGAAAAGAGACTAAATAAAAACAAATGCAACACTCTCCTACAGCCTTTGCTAGCGTTCCATTATCTGCTTTTTCCATGACCTTCAGAGTGCCAGTGAAGAGAAGGGAAGGGTATTACAGATTGCAGGGTCCACAGAACTGTTCCTTACATGGCCGTTCATGATGTCAAATATGCTGTTTGCTAAGGGTGGTTAATTTAGATCACTCCTGTTAAAATTACATCATGTATACAACCCTTTAGTGCTACTGTAGACTGGTGCTAAAATAGTCCAACTTCAAAATCATTCCAAGTCACAGGACTATACTGTCTTCTAGTCGGTTTGAAGAACAGCCCTTCCTACTTTATGGAAGAAAAGTTACAAAGGTTACTTCTAATTTTTGCAGCATCACCAGAAATTGTCAGTTAGTCAGGCACCTCGGGTATCCTACCTCTCCTTGTATATGACACTGCAGTTAAAAGCTCTGTCTGGTCAAAATACTGTAGCCCAGATTACCTAAAAGAAGAAATAACCTTATTTTAATTATCTTTTTACTGGAAATCCGTCTAACACTAGAAAGCTGGGATTCATCTAGCACTGAGAAACACACTGCCCTTCACATTTGTACAGTTCTGAAAGTTAAGACTTCATGAAACAAGAGGCTACACCTGAACCAAGCAGATAAAACCCAAGCTTCACTGAAATATCATGAAATTCGCAGAATGGTCAACATTTCCACATTCTCCATTCTGAAGACAAATATGACAATGGAAGCAGTCCAGGTGAACTATCGGTATCCACATTCTCCCCAATGGAAACGGAGTCCTATTGTATTTGTCAACAGGTTCAATTTTTCCTTTTTCTTCTTTTAAAAGGTATCTTTGAGTTCACATTAAAAACAAAGAAAAACGCTCATAACAGAGTTTTACATATATAAAACTCTACATATCCCCAGTCAAAAGTATAATCTATGGAATTTGAGAAATAAATTTAATATATACAGCTAAGATTTAAGAAAATATGAAAAATTAATCAGCCAGCAACTCAACTGCTGTCGTTGATTGCCCCAGAACTCCTTGGTACAGCATACTAATTCCAAAGACACATTCTATGCAGTACACTAGAAATTGTTTATGCGGATCACATTTTTGTAGCATCTTTTTTCTTGATCATACTTTTATAACTTGGATACTGTTTAATTAAATATTCTCACCACAGTAATGGGTGAAGGACTAGGGAACTGAAACTTGGTTTCCTTAGTAGAACTCTCAATCATTTTTATTTGTTTGTATCATTGGGGATTCTCTGGCAAGTAAGCAAACACCTCCCGCAACTGGTTGAGAATTCCGAGGTTACTGTCTTCCACAGCAGGCTTGGCTGAAAGACGCAATTAAATTCACACTTCCCTTCATATCTTCTGTGATTAGTTTGCATGGAGATAAGACAGAGATACAGCAAATACTTATTTGTGTCGCCACAAATGAAAAACACTTTCAGAGTTGAAAACCAGTTCTGAATTACTGTCTGTACATCAATCTCCAGATTAAATCTCAGCAACTTTCATTTGTTATTTATGCATCTCAGTAACTGCCTTTACCTTAGAATTTCATCACAGGATGTTTATGTTCACACGGTTACAAGTCACAGCAGTAGTATTATACATATATAACATAAAGATCAAGGACAAGAGAATGAGCACATGAACACTTCTCTTCCTTTCAAGCCAGGCTGTATTCACAGCAACATAATGAAGATGCAACTGGAAAAAAATGATAAATTGCAGGTCTTGCATTCATGCTTCATTCTTCACTTAGACACATGGTCCACCTGGACAACTGATAACGTCTTTAACCCTGCAGCCTCAAAGTTCTACTACAACTTCTTTTATAAGCTGTTAAAAGTAACAAAGTAGTTACATATGGATTTGGCTGTTGTATCCAAACACAATCTCCCTTCATTCATGAATGGCCCACTCCGAAAGGTGGATCTTCTTCAACCCTGGCCCCAGCTCCACTTAAACTACCTCAACCAGAGGTAACTACAACCAGACTAAGCTGTATCACACCCGATTACAAGCTGTGTTTGCAGTAATTATTAAATATAAAGACTGACAAAAAATTGCCAGCAGCAAATTGATCAGCTGAAGCTTTTCCCTTGTACCCTTCCCTGAACCGGTTACCAGTTTCCAAAAATATGTAATATACAGTTACTGCTGCTGCCTCTGTCCCTCTTGTAAAATTCTTTTGGAATTAGGTTACAGAAGTTACTGTTAAACTAGAATTGTGTCTCCATAACCTCTCCAACATTTGATACTGGTAAAATATGGAAACGTGTTGCTGTACAATCTTCTAATTAAGGAAAGATACTTCACAGGGGGTTTCATGCATGCCAACAACAGAAAAGAAAAACTTAAGATTACTTAGTTTCTGGATAAAATAATCCAATTCCCTTTCATTTATCCTGATACAAAGTCCGAGGTACTCTTCTTGAGATCTAAACAGCTATACTAACAAGCACTGAAGTCAGCACTGCCTTGACAAAACCCTTATTTCCATAGGTCAGGTATGTTGCACCACCACAGCACTGCAGAATTTGTCCCAAGAGCTAGAGAGCTCTCTGTGCACAGCCCAGAATAGACGCTGTGCAACTTCACTGGAGACAAAGCAAGCACGACTGTGCATACACAGAACATACTCTCCATTGCTCCGTACAATCTGATTGTTTTCTATACATGTTTACTAAAATGAAGCACTTAATCTTTTTTTTTCATTTATATAAAGAAGTTTTATTTCTTTTCATTTACAAAAAAAAGTTCTGCTGGAAACAAAATTCTTCACTGCATTCTGTTGAGAAAGGGAGAGATCAGGCCTAATTTCAGACGATACTGACACTTGTGTATTTTGATTAAAAACACATACAAAACACACTTTCATTGAGAAACCAATAAAGCTACCATTTATTTTTCACTTGCTAGAGTGTATTATTTTTTCTTCTACATTGTCGTTTTATTGAAAGTGTTTTGAGCTGGAACCTGCACTGAAACCGACTGAAACTTCCATGCAAGACTGGGCTTTGCTGTGTCTTTACAACACCATTCACACCTATTGCATTTTGGCTATTTCAAGAAATGTAGTTTAGCCATACCATTTAAAAATTGTGTCTGGTTCAACAAATAAGACTCATATTTGAAAACAGTTCATTTAAAACAAACAAATCAGCCCTGATATGAGAGCATTTTCACAGATGGAGCAATTTTTAATCGGTAATGTTTTCAGGTTATCTTTCTTCTCACTGCTTTATTTCCCGCTCCCTATCCTTTCTGTATGTTATGACATGTGCCATCATTCACAAAAGTTGTTTTTCCCCTTTTCTTTGTCTCCTGTATTATCACCTAGAATTATGCAACCTTGTATGACAAAATAAAGACCACTCATGAATGAGACACCATCCAGTTCTCATATCTTACATGCTACCTACAGGCAAAGCAAAACATCTTTGCAAGCTTAGAGTCATTCTGATGGAGTGCAATTGTATAAATTGCCATTATACTCACTATATAATGGAAAGGAATAGAGTATTTACTATAAATCTTTGTTACAAGCCAGAAATCCCAATTACTTTTGGCCTACTGACCCTCTCAGATTTAAACTCTTTTATATTTTGCAATCATACAATGTACTTGCTGGGTAGAGTTGAGCCAGGAAAAAAACAAACAAACAAAAAAAACAAACAATCCCACACCTTTAAAAGCCTGAATGAAAAGAACAAAACACAGGCATTCAAAGAGACCAAGCTACAGTACAGAGCAGGGAACAACAGAATGTCTACTCAAGCAAAGCAATCAAGAATAGCTCTTGCACATCTAATAATGCAGAACAATCTTGCTAGACTAATTTTAGTCATCAACCTTTTTTAATTGCCAAAAATCATACACAAAGCCCAACCTCTGTATTTCATAAATACAATTTCACTAATTTAAGCAGGCTACGAACAGAGATCTATGTATATATGTTTATCACTTAATCCCAATCATTTTGAATACTGTGTATGAAGTTACCAATATCCATAGCAAACACCTACTAGGAGAGGTTAATGTACTGCAAGCACAGAACGACAAAGTTAAACACATCTACAGGACAAAAAAAAGTATTTCCTGCTTTTAAGCTGTTACTATGGTAAGTCAAGTAATTTAAAAATATGTATATACATACATACACACAGCTTGCATCTGACTGATCTGTACCTATTTGAAAGCCTTGAAACCATTTACTCGTACCAATGTCTGTGTGTACATAACATCCATGATACACACCACAAATTTTATTTATTCATTAATTATAGTGAAAAGCTGTAGCTAAAAGAGCCTTAACCTTCAGGTTGCCATTGCAGAACACTTGGAGGATAGCTAGTCAGAAATCTCATCATCCTCCCATAGTGCAGGCACAAACAGTAAAGTGCCTAGTTTCAAAACATGTTTTTCCAGACTATGGTCTGCATTATCTGTGCTAGACTGATTGTATATAAAGCACTTGCAGGTGCAAGAGAAGCAAACGTTTATGAAGAGACTTTTGATTGGCTCAATAATATGATTAAGGAGCAGTAGCGCTGTTAAATACCATTTTATCCAAATAGTCACTACAGACATCTATGAATAGCACTGCTTAAATCAGGTTCTACAAGTATGCCTACAATATCCACTGTAATCCCTTGGGACCAGTATCCTCAGCTTGAAATGTAACTAGTTCCTGGATAAGCATATAAAAAAAAAAAAATATCAGTGCCATCATCAACATCTAAACCCAAGCTGACCTGCCTTTGTCCTATTCCTTCCAAGTGCCAAGATATAATGCTTCGGAGAAGGGTAAAACCCCCTTTTTACCCTGATGTAATAGACATTCAGCCAGAACATCCCAGTTTACACAGAAGAAAACCACAATAATTTGACTTCTGGAAATTCTTAGTTCACATCTGTAGCATGATGTTTGTCCCTAATTACTTCCGTGTTACTGTTAAATTCATCTAGATTTTACTGTTAAACTCATCTAGATTTCTAGAATTATATTTATTTAGTAATAAAATATAGCAACTGTGCCCTACACCTGACAAACTTCCTGCTGTTATGAAGTGCCACAGCAGATGAGTCAGACAGGAGGTGCGTACTTTAGAGTTGCATCCTACTTAACATTCTGCTGTTGTTTCTTTATGTCATATACTATCTGATTCTCAAGCTGGAGGAAAGCTCAGCTCCTTGCTCATGCCTGCTCTTAGTTCTGACAACTCCCTCTAGTTTTCCCTCTGAGGCATGAAATGCGCGCACGTGTACATCCTCTCATGTCTTTCAGAAGAAATATCCTATTCCCATCTCTGCTATCTTCCTTTAGCTTCATGCACTCACCCCTTCTTTTTCTCTTTTCAATCTCTGATCACAAATGCATGCCTGCCAGCCACCCTTCTTTCAGCACTGCATCTGGGGAGAGCCAACGTGTCAGGCCCACAAAATGAACTAATTCCCCTGT